GAAACTGGTGGCAATGACATAATCTTTAGATTCAGTGTGATAATTGGTTTAGGAACCGGTAGATGGTTTAAGTAATTTGATTTCATAGAAGTCCATTCCGTTGTGCATATAATGAATCGTAATATCACAACCGCCTCCTGTTATTCTTTGAGATATATGTTATTAAATCTCTCTTGAAGGCATCTTGATTAGTATCATGCATTCATATCTTTATTGGCCATGTCTGACACGCTTAGTTTTACTTATTTGTGGCCTATTAGCTCTTTTCCTGTGAAAACTTTTGCCTAGTTTGTTAGCATCTGTAAAACTTTATGTAAGAAGGATTTTGTTTTGAGGGTAGTAAAATGTTTAGTCTTGTACAATACTTTTAATGTGTAGCTGACATTCTTTTCCATTACCTTTATGAACTATGATCCAAAATGCATACAAATGAAACATAAAAGTATTTAAATACCAATTTTTGAAGGATACATGTTACTTTATATCTTAATCGAGAAGCTCAATATGAGAAGTTATAAAGTTCCAATTTTCGTTCCACCCTTAATACCATTACACGTTGGCCCAATGGTCGTAAGCTTAGTTTCTTTGCGGTTATGGTACAAACCATAGTGACACCTACGTTTGATTTCGAAATATCTTGAGTTTCTTGATACTAAATATTATAGGTTGAAACGAAGATTCATCAAAGTTAACGGAAATTTTTATCATTATTTTACAAGTCTTGGTGTATATATATATTCATCACTCTTAGATTGAATCAACTCAACCAGGAGCACTATTTTAATCTCGTGTAGAATCCTTAGCTTGACAGCCTTACCTTCGTAAACCAACCTCCATTACTCTATACCCTAGAAGGCAACAGGACTTCCTTTCACAATGATTTACGTAACATGAATTAAAAAATATCGATGCGAATTTTCAGAATTTCGACTGCTAGTTCGTGAGAGTTCCGTGTAAGCATAAGATCTTCTTTGTTCACAGTTGGCTAGTTTTGACAATGCTATCTCGTTGTTCTGACTTGTTGATTTACATTAAACAAAAAAACAAAAAAGTTGATAAAATTTGTGTTAGCTAGCCTGCAAGTCTTCGTTTGCAATTGTTCCATTGTACTGTGCAGGGGGCAACCGTTTTTCTTTTATGAGGTAAGGTTTTAATGCATCAATTAGCTGTGGTAATTGCGTACGAATTTTATGGAGGATATCTTTTGCGCCCATCGTTATTAGCTATTTCTTTTTCTCCTTTGTTTTTTTTTTTTTGCTGAAAAAAGTGAGATTTTGTGAACATTTTGGAGATCTTGTTTTGCTTCTGAGCAGACTTGGTTCTACCTGGAAGGGAGAAAGAAATAAATCCCTTGAAAACTAGGAAACATGGACTTTCTCTGTTTAGAATAGTGTTCGTCGTATACGGTACACACTTTGAATGTTTTGAGCTATTATATATGCATGATTTTGATTGAGTAGATAAAAGTGTTGAGTGGAGTGATTCAAAGTCGAGACGAGTATTAAACCGGGTTAATGCATAGCAAGTGTTGAACTATCTTTCGGGCCTAACTTCTCTGCTCTTGAATCTAAAAAAACATAGCATTTAGGAGTAAATTTTCGATATTATAAAAAGGGTATTGTATCGACCTTTAATTTAGGTAGGCATGTGCCTGTTTGTAGTGATGAAACTGTGATTCTTTTACCTAGCAAAGTTGAAATGGTTCAAATGTTTTTTTTTTCCCCTAAAATGAAGCGAAAATGCATGTAGGTAAAGTGCGAGGGTGAAAGGGAAACAAGTTTAGTTATGGAATTCGTTTCAGAAGAAGTCGATGGCTGGACGCACGCGCTCGTTCCGTTCTTGCACACCTTCGTTTTCTCCTTTCAAACTAATGTACATACGTGTCGCATGGTGCCTTTCTCATTTGCCCGTTCATCAACACCTCGTGCGATTGTATTATCAATTTTTGGAATTTAAGTTTTCTACAATCTATGTAGCATAGTTTAGTAGTTTTTACAAACATTACTCTTAAACTTCCACAATTAATTTTGGTTATTGCTGAAGATGGCTTGAAAACCCACTTTCTAAGTTGTTATTTCATGCTGCGCCGACGCCACCTAACCATACCATTAGTGTTTACTTTATTTTTTAAATTTTATGGAAATATGAGTTTTTCTTGGTTATCTATTATTGGTAAAGGATATGTGAAAAGTGGAAGAGTTTGAAAGTTATCTAACTTTCAAAAATTTAGTTATTAAAAATTTAGTCTATTTAGTTCAAATTTTGTAATAATTTAACTGTATAACAATCTGGATTTTAACTTTGACACCTAATTCTTGTTGCTTTGGAACTGAAACGGTTCTAATTTCAGTTTGAGCGGTACTTTTTTTCGATTTAAAATTCTCATGGTCTGATTCTTTCTTTTGAATATTTTGTCTCCACATTCTGGTGAAGTTGTTGGTTTGGAGTATGTTTACTGCTACAAATAAACTAATAATACGAAGGTGACACCAGAGGGAGCAACTTTCATGCTTGTTGACTCTATGTGGTCCCTTGCACGGCTCTGGCAAGAGCACGACTAACAAGTTAGTTGATAACTTCTTAATCGCACTTACATAGGGATCGTAGGGCACTATTAAGTGCATCCACATCCTACTAAGATTGTGTGCTATAATGGTTCTCATCACTAGTAGTGAATCTATTATAGAAGATTGTCTAACAATCCACCTATAGCTATCACGACGCACAAACATATGACATTACAAGAAACATAATATAACACAAGCCTTCCTTTATCATATGATTTACTTAATTGCATGCTATAGCATGAATCATATGAACTATACTAACACCACTATGTTAAACTTAAAACTAGCACTTTACTATAGTCGATACACTTAACTAGTCCAACCAAAGTTATTTAAGTTCAACTTCTAACATGGTTAAGACATGAGAGAATAATAAAACATGACATTCATGTATTACAAATAATTATTGAATAGACTAAACCAAACCGCTACTTATACGTATAGGTATTATGTTTTTACACACAAAAAAAAGCAAAAAAAAAGTCCCGAACTTACTTTAATTTCTCTCGATTTCTTCCAAAATGTCCTACGAATTAGAAAGGTCATTGAGATTGAAATAAAAATAAAAAAATAAAAATAAAATATTTTTTTTTTAAAAAAAAAAAGCAAAAAGAAGTTGGAGAAACTCATCCTCATCCTCATGCGCTCATACACATGCCCACATGCTTGTTACACGTCCGAACTGCTTGACATAGTTAGATATTCCTGGTATATTTCAAATCTCTCAACGTTCATCGGCAAAACTTCGAACAAAGTTTTTTCCTTTAATCTCTCTCAATTATCTACGATACCTCGACTGTCTGGAATGTCCATACATCTAGATATCTACTACAACTTTGCATCGTCAATTAGATCTATTGTTGTCAATGTGATTTTTTGATTCTTAGGCCAATTAGATTTGAGCTTCAGTACTTTGACTCTGTTATATTGGACCGCACCCTCTATCAGGGTTTGGTCATCTCGCTCTCAAATATGCCACTTCAATCTAAACTATATCAAGAACAACGATTACATCTTCAGAAAGTTGAGAGATTGTCTAAATAATCGCTTTTTTTTTTTCCCTTTTTTTTTTTTTTTTTTTGGGAGTTGTCTAAACTCTTAGCAGGCCTCTCCTAGGCAATAGAGTCTGGTTGATCTATCCATATGCTTATGGGTTTGTCTTGTAGGATCTCAACCTTCAACATCAATTCGTGGTTGGGTATCCCATCAAGGCAGCTTGTGCATTAATGGTATCGACTTTATTGGTAATCTCCTTCATGAACATAACTACCACAAATAACTCCAACAGAGACAACAAACAACTCTCGACCAACAAAGGCTTCCTGAAAGTTGATAAATCAAAGAACTCCATAGGCCTCTGCAATTTTCCAAAAATTGAAGAATAAAAAATCAGATAAATAAATTATTATCATTCATTTTAGAAACTAAAATGATAAATTCAATTATCAATTTTCTTTTCTCAAAAGATCGAAGCAGTACTCGAATTGGAGTTGTGTCAACATTGGCCCAAAAAATCTATTGAAATCCGAAACTCGAATTAAACTTGTTCGGTTCTATAGAATGGTCTAGACTTTCTATTTTTTTGGGTTTGATGCATTCCCCGGAGGAGTGGATATTACCGATCCTTACCATTTAGAGCTGGCCTTTGACTATTAATTGAATTCCATAAGCTTGAAAGATGGTTACTCAAATTAAAAGTTTGGAAGTGTCATTACATTAAGGCCCTATGTTCCCATGCAATTTTTGTATTTTTCCCTCAAAATGATTGAAAATGTGAAGAAATTACACAAATATTTGGAGATAGAATTCTCACATAATCTCTTGAAAATTACGCCTTTTGAAAAATATATGAAATGTCTCTTAATAGATCTCCGAATATTTAAACATAAAATAAAAAAAAGTTGTGTATAATAAAATCACTCATTATAAAAAATTGATGAATATATAAAAAAAAATGGCTCAAGACAACTAAAAATTGAGAGATCCATCAAACACCTCTAAAGTTTAGATATCTATTACATACAAATAAAATTCAATTACATTCAAACACTTCATATAACCTTAAGCAAACTATTAAACATTTAGTAGCAGCGCAAACATTTTCAAAGTTTAACCAACCTATAGGAATTATAACCAAAGGTATGAAACTATCCCCCAGACACCAAATCAAAGCCAAGCTCTGACTCTCTATATGCTAACTAGACACGAACATAGTAATTTAACCTTAAATTCATAACGCTGTTTCGCCAATTACTAGAAATGCATTTAATTTGGAAATTTTGAAAGAAAAAAACTTGAAAACACCATAAAAGAACCCAAACTATTCTCACTGAAAAGCCCTTTAAAAATCATCAAAAACTCTAAACAAGGGAGCTTGTTGCTAGGCAGTGATATCAAATGTTGAACAATAATCCACACAACACGGGGCTAAACTACAAGAGAAGGGAATAAATAAATAAATGAAATAAATAAGCAAAGATGAAATTTCAGCCTCAAGCATTGCAAATTATGATACATATGTGAATGACAAATTAAATTTCTGTATAACTTCTTGGCTGGACCATTGTTGTTAATCCATACAACCGATAATCCCCAGTCAATTCAATCCCAAAGAATGGAAGAATTGCACACCAGTAAGCATGATAAAACCTTGCTAATTTGAACAGATCTCAAACAGAGTGCATCTCGAAACCGAATATATTATCCTGGCACAAACAACAGGATTCGACGGTCAACTTCAACATCTTAAGTACGCAAATGACTCCTAATAATTCATACAATCTCGACATCTCCTGTTGGCAATGCATTCATCTGCAAGGTCCTACCATTTCCAGCTGAAAGAAATCGAACAGACGGCAATGAAGGGTCCGTCACAGATTCAATCTCCAGAAAGTCGAAGTCGTAGGTGTTAGATTTCTTCAAGCTAAATATAAAGACAAGAACAACCCATCCTAGCATGGAAAGTGCCCAGAAGTTATTCATTCCATGGATCAAACCCCAAGCTATAGCATATCCAACAATTATTCCAGATAGATGTCCAAGAAAACTTGCTTGTGGGACAATAATGGAAGTAAAGATCAGTGATTCAAATGGTGCAAAGCTGATGGGTAACGAAAGAAAGCCAAAGAGTTCCAACTTCGAAGATGGTTGCTTCATAGAAAGTATAGTCATCCACCCGAAAACAACACAAGAATATCCAACAGCGGTAACTCGCCGAAAGTATTCGAGCTTAAACTTCTGAATTAAGAGATGGTACATTCCTAACACTAGGATACCAGAGAGTATGACCAGAACAAGAGTGTAGTGGAGATAATATGCAACACCTAAGCCCATATGCCCAAGCTGTTCCAAGACCCCAAGACTCCAAAGAGCACTCATGTTGAAAACCAAATGAATAACACTTATATGAGAAAAGGCAGAAGTTATTATCCTCCAATGGTGTCCTTCCATGGCAGTTTCATAACTCAGCCCCACATGTGAATATCCAATGTTTTTCTTCTGAATGTAAAACCATATAGCACAGCAAATCCCTATAATCCCACTTGTGGCTGGTTTTTCAAGAATCTCGTAAAATAAAGGCTTCCCCATCTGAAAATTGCCCTTCAAAACTCCCCTGTTTACACAATTCCTAAATCAATACTACTCATACAGAGACTAAAATTTCTTCATCAGAATCAGAAAATGAACAAAGATTTAGTACCAGCCATTAAGTAACTTCTTGAAGTATATCAGATCATAAAAGAATTCTCGCAATTTCCCAATTTCTTCATCGAAGCCCAATCACGAAATTAAGAGACTGAAAGGCAACCAGATCGAGAACAGAACGATAAAATCAAAACAGAACAATATCCAAGAAATAAAAGGCACCACTCCAGAAATTTCTGTCGGTGAGAAGAAATTCAAATCTGCGACAGAGGAGAACCTGATCGGAAATTGGAGAGTTGAGCAATGGGCGAATGCGAAGATTCAGATTGTATTATCGACGGAAAAGGATTCGAGGAGAGGAGCAAAATTAGGGTTTCGGGAAATTTCTTACTTGGGAGCACACATTCACGTTCGTGAAGGCTCTCGAAGACTTGGCTTGCTCCCAAATGTGCATTTCTCCCTTTATTTCACCTTTTGTTATTCCTCAGATTAACATTCTTAATAGTCATTTATTTATTTATTTCTTAAGTTCATATCGTGTCATATCCATTTTGGCATGCTTCATTGGATTTATTAGTCATTTCCTTAAATTTTAATTTTGATTCAATGGATATGACTCAGAATTTGAAGTTTCAAATAGATTGGTATCAAAGCAATCGAGTTTTAGATATTGTAAACTTGTCTAGGTAGAGAGTCGTACATTCACTATGCCCTAGCACTACGACATGCCTAGCTTCGACCAGGTAAGCAAGTCAAAATTTGAACAGTGGTTAAGTCTCATGAGATAGTACTTCAATTTTCATTTTCTCAATTAATTGACGTGTTAGGATGAGTTGTAACCCAAACTTGTTGTCTTTTAATAGACCATGGCTCCTAAGAGAATGATCAATTGACAGGGTAACACCTAAAAGGAGTAGAAAGAAGGTTGTAGATGGCACTGCAAAGATCTTTAAGGTTGAAACGATCAAACCTCAAGAGGCAGCGAGGGGGAATCTTTAAGTGTCAGTGCCTACCCTAAAGGTGCCACTGACATAGCCTATTGTAACTTCCATGCTAGAGTCCAGTCATTTATGAGGTTTACATTGGAGACCCAGACCACCCAACTGTTATAAACGATGGCAGCCAGTCAGACAATTTAAGTCCCCAAAAAATCAAGAGGAATGACCACAGATCCAATTATGTGAGGGACTTCTAGAAGTACAACTCACACTCTTTCGACGGTGAGAAAGTAGATCAAAGCATGGTTAGAGGCCATAGAGACAACCTTCCAATATATGAACAGCTTAGAAAAGTAATAGGTGTACTGTGCCATATATATGCTAGAAGGGAAAGCAGATAGGAACTGCGTTGCTACCCTGATGGACATGCACATGCATGAGGGAAAGTAGATAGAGACTGTTCAAGCTTCCTCAAGTTAAAGGAGGAGGTCAGATGGGAACTGCTCTAAGTTTGACCGACATTTTCACAGACATTTAGGTAATTATGGTCGAGCACTAGATGGGGCAGAACAACATGCCCTACGTGCAGCTGCTAGCACAATAGAGTATTTTGGATGTGGCAAGTAAGGCCACAAAGATGTAAAGTGTCCATATCAAAAAAATCAAGACGCCAACCCATTGGTAATGTAAAACTGAGAGGTTGGGAAGCTCAGCAACATAGGCCATCAATAGCCCCTACAACTATGACTAAGAAGGCAGATGAGTCCGACAAAGTAGTAATAGATACGGTGCCCATCTTTGATCATTTAGCATTTGTGTTGTTTGATTCTAGTTCTATGCACTCTTTTATCTCTAAGAGATAAATGTGGATAAGTTGTTGTTGGTCACTCATAAAGTTAAGTGAGATGGTGTGACAATTTTAAGATGAGTCCTAAAGGTAACACAGATTGTCCTGAAGTATGCAAGACTTCGAGATCATCCTAAGGATAGACTGACTAGATGAAAACCACGCTTTGATATACTTAATGCTTGTGTAACCTTTAGACCTTCGATAGGGGAGAGGTTCACATATAAGGGATTAATTCCAAGAGTACCATTAAAGTTATTACCTTTTTGAAAGCCAAGAAGATGATAAGCTATGATGCATGAGCATGTATAGCTAGTGTCACGAATATCAACAAAATAGAGCGAACAATATCATTAGTACCACAACTTCGAAATTGAGTTTGAACTAGGAATCACACTGATCTCAAAAGCACCTTATAAAATGGCACCCGTGGAATTAAAGGAACTAAAAGAATAGTTGAAGGTGTTGCTGAATAAGTCTACATATGACCTACCATATCGTCTTGGGGAGCTCGTGTGTAGTTTGTAAGAAGAAATATGGATCTAAATGTTTGAGCATATATTAGAGCGAGTAAAATAAGGTCATTATCAAGAATTACTCTCCGTAATAAATAAATTGTTTAACTAGTTCAAGGTGTCAATATTCTCTAAGATTGACTTGAGGTTAACTTATTATTGTATGGGGATTAGAGAGGAGTGTCAAAGGTTATGGAGTCTGTATATATGGAAAATGACATGTATAGTAAAGTGACGATATCTAGAACAGTTATATATGTATATATATATATACCTTAGATAGTGTTTTGAAGATGCACCTTCTTGCATTCTTTGTATTCTTTATTACTATACATACTTGAAGTTATCAATATAAACCTAAATCTAACATTTCTCATTGCATTTTCTCTCTCATATTCTTTGTGTTCATCTATATCGAGTGTGAGTTGTTGTGTTGTTTTAACAACTGATATCAGAACTAGACAAAATTCACCACGATCTGTAAAGATGAAAAGCTCAAAGATTGAAATCGAGAAGCTTGATGGATCCAATTTCGATAAACATTGAAAATTATTTGTACTAAAAGATCAAATGGAAACTAAGCTACATAATCGAAGTAAATAAGTTATGGAACTATAAGGATCGAGATAGACGAACGTCTCGTTGGAAGGAATTTACCAATTACAAAATGTTGGGAGTGAATCTTCGGCTTTGTTTTGGTGTCTTTTACTTACATATCCATGCTCCTAATTAGTCAACGTGGAATTCCAACCATTCTGAACGTCACACACGGATTTTTATCAAATATTTAGTTAATAGATATAAACATGCCCAACAAATAGCAGAGGGCAGGAGTGTCAAACACGCATTGGACGGAAAATTAAATCCATGATTTAAAGTCCCCACGTTGATTTACCAAAATTAATATATTTAATTATTTAATTACAATAAATCAATAGTGATTTATTTAAATATATCTTTTAATTCATTTGGACATAAAAAGTTATATTAAATAAATGAATTAGTTATTTACTAAATTCTTAATTAATTAGCTAAAAATATCTTAATTAGAATTAGTGGCTTACCTCAATAAAAAAGTTGGTTTTGAATAATTATAATCGTTTGTTTATTAGCACTAATTTTAATTAGCTCATTCATTAGTTTATCATGTCTTTAAAACATAATTAATTGGTTCGATTTAAAATTAAAATTAGTAATAATCAACTATAATTAATTAAATATTTTATCATAATAATTATTTTAGTAATAATTTATAATAATTATATACAATTAATAAGTATTTGCAATCAAAAGTTTATATAATTTTGTTAAAATAATTTATTTGAAAATAATTATTAAAATTGATGGTAAACTAAACTCAAAAACCTAATATGGTACATTAGTTAAAATTATTTTAATAATTTAACTTAATACAAAATAGTTTAACAAATATTAATTATCTAAAATTAAATAATATAATAACGAAACGAAAAAAAAAATATATATATTTATTTAAATGAAATAACCTACGCATTTTATTCTCAAATATTATGATTTCAAACATATCAAACCAAACAACCCTTTAATCTTTACAACACGAGTCACCATTCTTTATCATAATCTTATATTTTTCATAAAAGATCCAAAAGTTATAATAAGGTACAAAATCAAAGCAAACTACTATAACGCATACTATCACATGCCCATGGCGACAATACTATACATAAACATTTTGTAAGATTATAAACTCTATCTTTCACAAGCATACCAATTCAACATCTGTGCATTCTTCGTTCATCCAAGATCAGGAACTGTAAAAAACTCCTCATCGTCTACCATCTCGATCCTCGGCTTTTTGTATGACGTGCTCGACTTTGTCGGTCTGCATGTGAATGCACTACCTGCGTGCGAAGTAGGAAGCTCGGGAACTTCAGCAGCAGCTAAAGCTTCTTCAGGAACCTGCTCGCCAAAGAGTCCCATTTCTGCTAGCCATTCTAACTCCCCAAACTCTAGTTGTTCTTTCTGCTGCGGTAATGAAACTTGGGGATAAGTGTGACAACCCAATAATCATGATTACACAATTCTTCGTGAAAAGTTTGCCTCTGTGTTAGAAACAGAGTAAGGAACAGAAATCTCTAAAGAAACTACAGGCATGGATCCAAACTAAAGCCAGCCAATGTTCTATTATTGTTTTGGAGATTCCGCTTCCCATTGGAAATTCAGTTTTGCATCAGAGTAACCAAATTTTGGAAAACGGTGTACGATATGAACTAACCGATGTTGTGAGATCCGAACGAAACATTTTTTTATGAGGGTGTAAAAACCTCTCCCTAACATATGCGTTTTAAAAACCTTGAGGGGAAGCCCATAAAAGACAATATCGGCTAGTAATGGGCTTCGACCATTACAAATGGTATCAGAGTCAGACATAAGGCGATGTGACAGCAAGAAAGTTGAGCCCCAAAGGGGGTGGATTGGGGTCCCACATCGATTGGAGAATGGAACGAGTATCAACGAGGACACTGAGTCCCGAAGGGGGTGGATTGAAAGATCCCACATCTAGTTTGGGGAGGAGAACAAAACATTCTTTGTAGAGATGTGAAACCTCTCATTAGTAGAGGAATTTTAAAAACTTGAAGGAAGCTTGAAAGAGAAAGCCTAAAGAAGACAATATCTGCTAGCAATGGCTTTGGCCGTTACAGATGATTAGATGTTTTAGAAACTTTGTGCTAAACTAGTTTCATCTTTGGGAGAAAATGCCAGAGTACCTCTGAACATATGCAGGAAGGTTCAAAAAGTTATGGTTTTTAAATATGTAGAATTAATTAAACAGGAGATGTGGGTATAAACTACTTTTCACTTCATCTCCACTATTTTTCATGAAAAGTAGAACAAAAAGCTCACTTCCTTTGTTGCACTATGATCAACAAAAAAACATACAAATGGATGCGTAGAAGGTGAAGTATCTAGCTTTTCTTTACCTTGTCAGAGGACTCGAGATCAGAGAAGTGGAGAAAGTCATCAACAGCCCATGGGGATGTGAAGTTAGGAACTTGCTGGGGAGACATTTTAGCAGGAACCTGGGGGTTCTTCGGGTTCGGAGGTTCCATCTTCACCTTGTCGACGTCCTTCATGCAACTTGAGCTCATAGCCACTCTGATTCCAGTGGCTAGGAACCTCTGGTGGTTTGCTGAAAGACTACCAGTTGAGTGAATTGGTTCATCACAATCTTGACAAAATAGTGCTCTGTCTTCAACACAGAAAATGAAAGCCGCCTTGTCCTGACACCGAATGAGATATAGAATACTCAGCATACCGAATGACATCCCTCGAGCAAAATTTGAATATTTCAATACCGACTCACTACAATTAAACTATTTGAATCTAACAAACAATGATAATTTATAACAATCAAAGTATCATAAGAACAAAGTATGATTACTTATTTGATTTTCTTGGTTATTCAAAACAAATACCAATTCTGGATCTTGAAGCCGTTCAAAAATCAATCTCATTAGCATCAACTGGCAATCCAGGAGAGTTAATTGATCAGATACCAGAGGAAATGATTCTCTAGGGAACAGCAACCACGCAATAAAACGACTAGATTTGAATTGATATCATATCATGTCATATGTTAAGGAAAAAATTTGCCATAACTTATAAGCTTAAATCTTTTAGTATAGAGATAAATTAAGATGTCATCGGTATCAAAGATTCTAAATCCAAATCCCTATTACTAAAATTGAAGTAAAGACTGAAGATCCTGTGTTCAAACTTCTTTCACTTGTTGAGGCTCTTTCTAAATTTCAAACTCACAAATAAACTTAAACCTTCGGATTTAGTAGTGATTTAAGTAAATGCTATTGAGATACTCATCGACGCTCTCGAAATCGCTAATCTACACTCATTATATCATACCAAACACCATGAGATGAACGAAACTAGCAAATAAACGAGCAATAAATCAAAAGTACAGCATCAAAAGATCGAAATTACTTGGCATATGTCGCATTTGGGGAGCTTGGTGGAGAGGCACTGAAGGAGAAGCCTCTGGTGTTTACTCGCAAGCTTATTAGCAGCATGAACTTCAACATCGCATTTCGCACAAAGCGCCGCTTCATCCGCACAACAAATCACAGTAGCAGGAGCTTTCTCACAAACATCACACTGTATTTTCATCTTCACACTCCAGATTACCACCGCGATCTAGAATAGATTCCCGGAAATCCCTCTTCTCCCGTTTCCTACTCCGAGATCATCAACTCCACGAAATTCGGAGGAAAAGCAGCAACTCAAAGCGCCACAGTGCCGGTAAAACACTGCCGCCGGATAAATCCAAGAAGAAGGTAAAGAGGGTGTTAGAGGAGAAAAATCGGGAAGGAAGGGGATAGAGAAAGAGGAAGTATATGGTGGAGGATTGAAGAGGAAAGAGGAAGGGCAGAGATTTGGGGAAATGAAGATGAAGAAAGGTGGTGAAGACAAGAAGGCGGAAAAGAGTGGAGGCCATTTGTGTGGCTGTGGAGCTTGATTGGTTTGTGGCTGAGGACTTTGGAAGGCTAAGAGATTAGGCAATGCTAGGATTCTGCACCCGTGTTTGCTTTTTGATGAGAGAGGAGCTTTAACCATTTGTTTGTGATACTTAAATAGGTTGGGATATGGAACCCGATGCCTAACAGATATGGTATAAATATATATGACACGTATCTAGAAAACATATTTAATAAGATCCATATATATATATATATATATTCGGTAGATTATATAGTTAAATTAAATCGGTTATATTACTCTATCTCTACTGTTTTTTTGTGTTCATCTCGATTTAGTGTATGCGTTGTTTAGGGATCCTAAGAAAATTAGTTTATGAGATCACTCGAAGATTAGCTAATAAAATTAGTTTATGAGATCACTCAAAGGTGGTGGGACATCTTTTCTTTGTGCTTGAACTATCATTGACCCGTCATGCTAAAATCTCCTTGGGTTTTGCGCTTTTATTCTTGAACTTAGCATTCTTGGTTGGTGGAAAGTATCGGTCCGAGACATAGCATGTTCAACCATGACTTTAGGGAATCCCTTATATTACATCCTTCTCTATATCTGAAACACTTTAAAGAATCACTGACTCCTAAGAAGGATTTCTACCGATGAGGATCTTTTGAAGGTAGTCCATGGAATTGGCGCTTTAAATCAAAATTAGCCGCTTGTATTGCAAGTATTCCATAAGCATATGTTGTTAATGGTTTTGTTTTTCGCTAAATGAATAACATTTGTTGGGTTTCTAACCCGATTAGCTACATTAGTTGGATCGATTATCTCGTGATTGAGTTGGAACTCTAAGGCTCCACTTGGATCAATTACATTTTCCAAGATCGGTGCAAAAAATTTGTTTGGTTGTGTAGCAATGATGTAAGAATGCATAGAATTCACAATAATATACGTAACGTATCGATAAAGGAATGATTGTCGTTTGGAGAAACTACATTTTCAATTTTTTTTTTCTTCAATTTGCACAAATTTGGTTACAATTATCTCGATTTGGATTAGAAGAATAAATACCAAAAACTTTTGTGTTCTAGGAAATATTATTATGAATTGACATCAAAAGGGTCGAGAATCGATCAAAAGTGGCAACAAATCTGCTACAAATAGAGGTAAATAGAAGAAAAAAAAATCACAAAAGAAGAAATATGAGGAAAATATGGCCCTAACTAGCTTTGAATCTAAAATCCGAACCTGATTTATTAAATATTAGTTCAGGAAGTTGAGTGTGTGAGTAACGTAATAAAACTAGGGTGTTAGAGACAATTTGACTAGATGATGACCTAGGATAGAATGTCTCTAGTAATCCCTAATGCTCTTCGATCGAGCTAGAATAAAGGAGTAAGAATAGAGAAACCTGAAGACGTGAATCCATGTCAAAGCTGTCAAGCCGCTCTAGGGACCTAGAAGACCACCATGCAAACTAGGAGGACAAAGGTAGCTTCCTAGTCGATAGTAGTTGATACAATGTCTACGAAACTTTCACTTTCCTTTCCACTCTGATGTTAGTACTTTCGAGCCATGTATAGGGTTGACTAGGGATGTGTGACCTAACAATTCAATTAGATATTATTATGCATGGTAGATACGTCCTATGGGAGGACGTGGATAATGTGGGTAGTTATTGGAGCTGGCATGTATAGGGGATCTCTCCCCCAACTTTGATGATGACCAAGCTAGCACAAATCATATTGTCCTCACTCGAGAGAGTTCTAGGAGATAGCGCCTCAACCCAGACACTGGCTAATCGCTACATAGGCTAAGCTAGCTACCTAAGTCTGTGAGTAGCAACAGTTACACCTAGAGCCTAAAGAAAAGCTTACTAGGTTAAGGATATGATGAGAGCATACAAGTATGTTGCTTACTAGTATGGTCAATGATGTTGTCGGTCGAGGCGAGGTGAGTTGATGTTAGGAGCAATGTAGCCGCAGAAAAGTGTTGGCCTAGGGCATCTAGTGTGTCTGCACACCATATAGGGTGTAATATCATGTATTTCATGTATCCCAACTCATTTTCATCCTTGTAAAAACCTAATATATATGTATCCTCAACTCGCTTTCATCTTTGTAAACACCTAATATATATGTATCCTCAACTCATTTTCATCTTTGTAAACACCTAATATGTATGTACTTGTAAATATTTTACACCGGTTCTGAAGTGTGATGAATTGATTTTAAATCACTTGAAATTGATCCTAATTTTCATTGATTTCATCAACACATGTTTTCACATCCTAGTTGGTTGGTCTCAATCTATTTTTTGAAGCCTCGAAACTTCGATGGTGACATATTGGTATCAGAGTAGTCAGGTTCTAGGTCCTATAGACATTTAGAATAGAGTCATAAACCTTTGTGGCTCAACTTGCCGATACATCCCACCACGGTTAGATAAGTTATATGAACTTGAGTAGTAGAATAAACTTTTAAGAGTTCGTGCCATGTGACCTAGTCAATTATTTTAGGTTACGTTTATGCTTTAATTGATTTAATGGTGTGTCAGAATGGTATTAACCTAAGAATCTTCATTCTGATGACATATAATGGATCCTAAGCGAAGAGGGACCGTAATCGAGTCTGCACCAAAGACGGGCTAGGTGAAGAGCCATAGATGGCACTACAATTTTGGAACTATGCCAAAGGCACAAGTGCCCACCTCAGAATGAGGCTAGAGAGTTTCCTCTTGATGCCGATAGAGCTATGTCAAAGGCACAAGTGCCTAGGAGAGTTAGGTAGAGGACCCTGACCTGAGATCCCTCAGAGGCAGATCCTCAGGTACCAGTGTCAAGGAAGGTACCGCTGGCACCGGTACTGATCCTTGAAGTGCCGCCCACTCAGCCATCCACAACTCTCACCTTGGAGATTTTAAAGACTTTCATGAAGTCCACGTTAGAAACTCAGGCTCAGACCAACTAATTGTTGTAGCCTTTGGTAACCAATTAGTCGTTTACACGTAGCCTCCAATGTAATGAGTGTGTGACAGTTGAATCTCGTTACTTGAGGAACTTTCGAAAGTTTAACCTCTCTTCCTTCGACTGTAGAAAGATTTATCTAGTGGCACTTGAGGACTAGTTGAAGGTTGTCGAGACAGCCTTTTGCTATATAAACTACTCGATGGATTATGCTGAAAGACAAAGCACACTTACAGTGGAAGAGTGTCCATAAGATACTCCGTCCTAATGAGGGTCTCGTATCGTGGTGTTAGTTCGTGGAGATGTTTTTTCCAAAGTACTATCCCATAGTCACCTGTATCAAGAATCAGACAGCCTTCTTAGAATTGAAATAGGGAGACAGATTGGTCAAAGATTACGACCTTGAATTTAACAGGTTGGGGAGATTTGCTCCTAAGTTTGTTAGTACTAAGAAGATGAGGACTAGTCGCTTCATTGCGGGTCTCAAGGACAAGATCCAAGGTACGTAATACTTAAAGGGATCACTTGGATATTCATGCATGCTAGTATAACTAACCTTAGGTCGATATTCTCTGCCGGATTAGAAATTAAAGTTACTAGTTAAGCTTATAATTAGTCACACTTGATGTAGGTATTTCAGAAATGTACCTTGAATGTTGTTATAAACTATTTACTACGACTTAGTACATAGTTAGCTAGAAAGAAGGATGAGAATTTTGTGATCAGCGCTCTGATGGTTAGATGTTATCGCCTTGTTGATAATGTCTGACTGTTTGCATAATTTGAACATTAGCTCCAAGTGATTGAGTGTATCATCTCCATGTTGAGTGTAAGTCTCAATAATGAAATAAAACTAGGACGTTAGAGACATCTTGGCTAGACAATGACTTAGGACAGAATGTCCGAGCACCTTAGGATCATGAGTGACGATCAATGAATCCAATCTCTAATGCTCTTTGCACGAGCTAGATTCAAGGAGTCATAATAGAGAATCTTGGAGATATGAATCCATGTCCAAGCTACCAAGCCACTCTAGGGACCTAGAAGACCACCACGACAACCTAGGAAGACAAAGGTAGTGTCCAGGCCAATGGTAGTTGGTACGACATCTACAAAGCTTCCATTTCCCTTTCCACTCTAGTTTCAGTATTGTCGAGCTAGGTATAGGGCCGATTAGGGGGGTGTGACCTGAAAGTTCAATTAGATTACCTTGCACAACATATTCGTTCTATGGGGGAGTGGGACATGGATAATGCGATAGTCATTAAAGTTAGCACGCACAGGGGGTCGCTCCCCCAACTTTGGGTGACTAGATGATCCCTGGGATGAGTTCGCCAGCTAACCTCCCATGGATAACAAGTAGACCAGCACACACCATATTCTCAACCAGATAGAGAGTTCTATAAAACAAATATGTAACCGGAACTTATTATATTTAGAAGGATTTATTAACTTAATCGAAACGAGAATATAATAACACTTTTAAAACTATAGAAATTAAATTTAAATTAAAGTTAAAATATAATTTAATTTGTTTTGTCCATTCCTTATCCATATTCCCTCCTCCACTAGATTAGAAAATTGGTCTCTCAATCTCTCTTTCCGTTACTTGATTCTACTTTTGTCGGAATCTTGGTCCAAAACACAAAATATCTTGGAATCCTTATCCATTTTGTTTCCCACTTGTCAAGTGTGGAATAAGTGTGGTGCCCAACTTTATTGGGGTCAAGATTCGGGTGTCAGTTACCTTGTGCTGCACGTGCACTTGTTTTGATGTGTTAAACATCTATCTGCAATGCATTTCTCAAAGTCACATTATCAGTCTTCTTTTACTTCTTAGTTCTTCTTCGTCATTCATCTTTGTCGTTTGTCCTTCTTTGTTTATCTTCTAATCATCTAATAGTTTTATCGTTGGTCTAGCTTTTTCTTCCTTCCTTCTTAGTTCTTCTTCTTCATTTGTCTTTGTCGTTCATCCCGTTCCTTCTTCACTCGTACTTCCTTCGTCCAGTTGCTTCTTTTTATTCTTTAGCAACTCAACTCAGTTTATTCTTTCATTCTTTGCTACTCACCTTACGACTCACCTCATCGAGATTGACATGAAAATCTCACTT